AAAAAAAAAAAAAAAAAAAAAAAAAACCTTAAAATTATCCATATCCAGTATTTTATTCACTGTTTCACAGAATGGCAATGTTGAAATGCAATGAACAGACACAGTCAGAAAGACACTTTATTTCACAAAGAATGAATCCATTTTCTTTGAAGCAGAGATGATTAAATGCCCTGTCATAAAAGTCAATAGAGGTGAGGCTAGGAGTAGGAAATTGTGTATAACTGAATTAGCCATTCTCACTTCTTCCATTAATAATTCATGTTTGCTTTCTTTACCAAATATTAAAATAAATATTTCATGCCTATTCTAGTACCTCCATAGAATCGTATACATAGAGGGGTCAAGTACTGATGAGGGTAAGTTCTGAGAAATGTGTTAGGCAATTGTCAGCATAGCACGTACTTCAAAACAGCTATGATTTTACTAGGTGATACCATCTTATGAAGCGATTACTGTACATGGTGCCTGTTGTGAGCCACTATATCATTTGACTAGGCATTATGATCTATGAAAGAATACTTCCATTTCGCATTTTCCTTAAAGCAAAGTATCCAGTTAGAAGATGCTAAATTAATACAGAATTCATCCATTTTCAACACATTTTTATAACTCCTGGTTTAAAAAGTCACTTTCAAGTTATACTGCAGAGGAAATATTTGAGTTAATAAAAAATAACTTACTTTCTAAATATGACCAAGTAAATTTGGAGACTTGGGGTCTACAGATCAAACAAGGGCTGGAAAGGTTTCTAGCCCCTTCAGTGTAGCAGAGTCCATTGATAATGCAACCATTTTCCTAATAGAAGTTTTTTGAAAAGAGAAAAGGAAAGCATCAATAAAGATAAGCTAGTCATCAATAAAGATAAGCTAGTCATCAATAAAGATAAGCTAGTGTACACAAATGCAGCATACGTTTATGATTACAGTGAGTGCATACAACTCTAAGAAATGTTTAAAATCAAATGCTATGAATGTATAGAAGAAAAATTATTTTGTATGTGTAAATAGCTATGGAACTGATAAATTCAGAGAAAGAAAAATATACATGTAAATTGTATCTCTGTGCCAAATGATAGTTTATGACTAATAACACAAAAGAATCAGCTCTCTTTTCATTTTTGTCTCTTTTTTTTCTTTTATGTATTTAGTACAGGGTCTACAGGGTCTTGCTACCCAGATCGGACTCATAGTGCTTCTCCTGTTTTCAGTCTCCCAAGTGCTGGGATTATAGCCACGTGCCGCCACACCCAGTCCCAACTGCTGTCTCAGCGCACCCTGGGAGCAGGGCCGGTACGGCACGATGTGGAATGAACACCGGTCACTGTGCCTACCTAAAAAGGCACTTCAATCCACTGAGCTATCTGGCCGGCCCTTCTTTTTTGTCTTTTTTATTGCTAAATTCATAGAGCAAGTGCTTATTAATAAATGACATCAGATTATAGCCACATGCCTATAATCCCAGCTGTTAGGGTGGCAAAAGCAGGAGAACCTTGAGTTCAATGCCTACCTGGGCAACACAGTGAGACCCTGACTCGTAAAACAAAGAAAAGGTGAAAAATTAAAGTTGACATTTTATCCCTGTTTGTCTTAGAACTTATATTAGTCGGCAGTTGTGTTTTTTTCCCTAGTAGCACTTTTCTGAACCAGATCCATCCCATATTTACCCATCATTACAAAAGCATTTGAAGATGACGGCATACAGGGAAAGAATACTAACTGTTGAAATCATTCTAATTTGGGAAGACCAGAGTTTACTTGAGATCCTTTGCTCTTTTCATAAAAATCCTTTGATACCATTTATAACATTGCATACCAATGAGAACAGATGTAAACGTGAAAACAAATGAAAGGCTACATACTTTTACAGTACAAGGATCATTTTCATGGAGACCACAAACTTGGCACGCACCATCATATATGATCATTATTTGGGGATTACTGAATATGTAACCATCATTGGATATCTGTGAGAATAAGTCAGACACAAAAATTAGTATCACATGGTTTCTCTTCTGTGAGAAGCCTAACATGTGAGATATACCAGATGGGAAAGAGGCATGATAGGGAATTAGAAGCCAACCCTTGGAGACGTGGGAGAGGATCCAAGGAAGGGAGGAGGCGATGGATGGGGGATAAAAGGTTAATAATGACCAAGCAATGTGTTACACATGTACCAATTCCCCAGAAAGAGCATCACCATTCTGTATTGCAAACCTACGCTAATAAAAAAAAGATGAAAAATAAATCTAGAAAAGATGTCTTTCTACAATAAGTTTTTCTAAATGGAGCTTTATGAATTCACTGTGAAATTTTATATAAAGTATTTACCTTGTTTTTAAATATATCTTTTATTTTTTACCTTTATTTGCCACTTTGCAATTGGCTTCTCCCCCATCAGACCCAGAGTATCTGACTGCTGGATGCTAGCAGGAAGCTGACAATCAACAGTTCTGTTATTCTGAAAAGCTCCTGGTGCATAGACAGGCTCTCCAAGCACCCACTTGCTGCCGTTGTACTGCAAGTACAATGAGAAAGCAATTACCTTCTGTGCATTATGGAAATATTTGTGCTAGTGAGCAACATCTGAGCAAAATATCAATTCTAATATCCATACCTACTAGAATAAGAAAATGAAAGGCACACTAACAGTGAATTTCAATAACAATAATGAAAAAGTATGTATCTTAATTTGACATAAACCACTTCTAACAAATCTTACATTTCCTGGGGACTCAAAACAAAGAATCCACATCTAATGGACCACTATGCACTCCACGATGACTTTGGAGCAAGAGGAAACATTTGACTATGTAACTAATACACACCAGATGGATTCCAGGGTTGGGATACAGAAAGTAAAGAGGAGCATAAAAGACTATGCGATGGCAAAAAATTAAACTGTGCAAGATATCATGAGGGCAATTAAAGAGACAAGACAAGCGACTTGAAGGAGCTCCCAGTGTGCAAAATGGAAGTAATTTAAGCAACAAAATAAGTACTACTGGCTTTGAATTATATTTCATAAAGTAAGTACCTACTAGTCCATACTGACATAAATGGATAAATGCTTCAGTAGAAACAGGAAATATTTCTTTCTTTCAGTAGAATTCCAAATGACATGTAGTAATGTAGACCCTGTCTCATAAGCATCCACCACTGCCTAAAGTGTCTTCTCCAAACATATGTCTTAACTACAAAAGGAAACATATAAAATTTACAGTGGAGATACACAAAAAACCACCACCTTAGCAGTCCAAATTTACTTCAACAGCAAGAAGATACACTGCAGCACCTGAGAATGACACAACTTCAATCTAATCAGAAGAAAGGAACATGCTACAAATTGATCAGCTGGTACTCTTCAGAAGGGGTAAATTCATGAAAGATAAAGACTGAACACTGTCATAATTTGACAAAGATAGAAAAGACATGACAATAAAATGCAGTGTAAAAGCTTAGATTGGTTCCAGAATCAGAAAAAGGGCTATTATTTGAATGGCTGCCAGAATTTGAACTAAGTCTGTGTACTACTTCATAGTATGGAATTAATGGGAACGCTGTGACCTCAGAAATTGTTTTTTAGCTATGCAAAGCTAAAAATCTTAGTGGAAGAAACTGGCTGAAAACTTAGTGGAAACTCTATTCTTTTTACAAGTTTTCTTCAAGTCTCAGATCTCAGAATAAATAGTTTACGGCTTTACTTCGCACAATGGAAAATCAATTTAAAAAACAATCTAGTTTTTTAAAAGATAAATTTTAAGAGAAATCTGATATTCAAATGAAATTTAAATTCCAACAAAAAGTGAACAGAGGTCCACTCATTAAATGAACATGTAACAAGGACGACAGAAGAAAGCCAATAGCTTAGGACAAAGCAGGCACATTCCACACTACAAACTAAATCAGTTAAGTATGAGGCAGTCCAAAGCTGGAGTAGGGATATTAGAATATTGCTAAATTACAGAGGCACGCATCAAAGTGAATGAAAGGGTGAAAAAGCCAAACCCAGTTCTGGAGAACTCTTAACTTCAGGAAATATAAACTAAATACAGTAATACCTCGATTCACGGGTGCCAAACCTAAGGTATGTGGCAAAATATTGCTTCTGCTCAAAAATTCTGCAACAGCTAACAAACACAGCCATGGCCAGCTTCCCCCAACGCACACAAACACAAATGTAGTCATGTTCCTCCAAATTCTAAAACGAATCAAATTCATAAACCAAGGCAGCACCATACTCAGTGTGCATTGCAGTATTGGCTGGGGCAGTTGAGCATATTTGTCTTCCTACAGATCATACAGTGTGGTAGAAGATTCCAGAATTTACTCTTTTTTTTTTTTTTTTTGGTGGAGCTGGAGATTGAACTCAGACCCTTGCGCTTGCCAGGGAATCACTTATTCCACTAAGCTATCTCCCCGGCCCCAGTATTTACTCTTTATCAGATGCTTGGAAAACAGAAGTATAAGAGTAAATAAAATATTGGTATAAAATATACTTTATTAGAAAATATGTCTATAAAATTTGCTCCTGGTAAGTCATTTAATTGTGGTATAATATCATGATTTATTCTTCCAACACTAAAACATACCTACTTTCTTACATGGTAGTCAAATTGTACATTATCTTTCTATTCTGTGTCATATTATTTCATTGTGACTAATTTAATCTGTGGCTTATCTAGAAAGGTTCCATCCATAAAATATGTATGATACCATGCTTGCTGTACATAAATATATAATAAACATATGAAAACTATTTCTTACTGTAAATTCTCATTCTCAGAATTATGTTTTCATCAATTTACACAGCAGGAAGAATACTGAATTATGATTTTAAGTTTCAGTTTACCCACAAAAATTCTTCTAATATTCAAAGGGATTCACTGGAAATAAAAAATTCCACTTGAGTAAAAGAAAGGAAGATCATTAGAAAAATAATGATCAAAAAAGAGGTATAATTTGATACACTAATATTCAAACTAAATGATTAATTCTGTTTTAGTGACCACAGAAAGTAAAAAATGGGGAGGGATATTTTCCTTTGTGAAGTCCATAGTAACAGAAATACGAAGATGAACTCTTGTCCTCCTTGTTTGTCTTACAAAAGGAAAATATTCATATTTCTGTATCTTCCAGTTCACACAGTGTGTCTTAGCCAAAGTCAAGCATCCTTGTTTGTGTTTTTGCATTTCACAAAATACGGATTCTCAAGATTATATCAAGCTCCATATTGTCTCAGTCTTTTTTGACTGAAAATAGCAAGCTAAAAGCTCAATAAATATTAGGTAAAATAATAAAGCTTATAAACAAGGAAGCTTTAAATTTAAGCAAATGAACCATTTTTTTTCTCTTCATGTCTATAGATACAACATCCTTTGGAATTATGTTCCTAATTGATAGACTAAACTAATTCAAAAGAAAATTAATCTGAATAACACATTAATTCAACTGTTTTCAGCAAATTGTCCTAAAGTCTGTAATTGACATACCTCCAGTTTAGTAGCTTCACATGTAATGGAAGGTGATTCTCTGAAGCCTTCACCAAAAACTCTCACCATCACACAATCATCTTTTTGAACATCACAGAATCCCGCATTCTCAAGCTCAGTAATTTCAGGTTTGTCTTTGGGAAAAAAATCATGACACATAGGACATTTTTTTAACTTCAGGAAAAAGCTACCTAATTTCACCTAGTTTCAACTACCAAATTAAAAGTCTATGTGAAATCATACTTCGAAGTACTGTATATGCTAGGAATTATTTCATTAAATATTAAGAGTAACCTGGTATAAAAGAAGTATTATCTCAAGGATAAGTATTAATAAATGACTACTATAATGAAATAGGTTTTGATTTTGCTGCTTAGTTTGTACCACATAGATGGGTAATGATAAACATATTTTAATAATAATATCAATCAGTGCAATATATTAAATTTTTGAAATTCTATTTTTTTCATTTTTTTCCATAATTTTATTGAGAAACAAATAGCAATGAGGCAGTTTCAAACCAAATTGGTAGGACAGTTTCAATAATTAACACATTGCATACTCTCTTCCTAGTGGTTAACTGCTGTACAAGATGCGGGCATGATATCCCATTTACAAATGCTATTAGAACAAATCCCTCTATTCATTAAGAGAATGTAACTATATATCTATCCTAACCACTTTGAATACACTTTTTTCATTTTTTAAAATGTATTTGGTATAGGGTCTTACTCCGCAGCTCAGACTTGAGTGATCCTCCCCAGTGCTTCAATTATAGGTGTGTACCACCAGATCTGGTCTCAGCGGCCAGCTCAGGGATTGAACCCCAGTCCCTGCACTTGTCCTAAACAAGCGCTCAGTCCACTGAGCTATTTAGCCAGTTCAAAATTTTAAAATTCTTAATTGAAGATTTAGAAAAATTTTCAAAATTAAATATGCTGTTGTTCAAGTAGTTTTTTTGGTGTGTTATTCATTCCCATCCTACATGCTACCATAATTTTATATGGACTACTCAGTTACAGGACAAAAACATTCTTGTAAGAGTCAGGGTTAACTGACCTTCATGTGTTTCCTAGTCCCCAGACTTTGTCAGAGCATGTATCTTCTCTATCTGTAACTACTGATTCTCAGCATAGACATATGCAGTATATAACATAATGATATCTTTGGTTAAATTCTGATGAAATTTAACTAAATAGAACTTTATCAGAACAGGGTTCAAACAAAATCATGTCATGTGTATTTACAACCCTAAAATTATGTGAAAATCTCATGTATATGTATATCCCTTCATATGTTTAACAAATATTTGTTTAGCAATTTCTTTGCATATCACAGGGGATATAGTAATGAACAAAACTCTCTCCACTTCATGTAATTTATAATCCAGCACAGGACAAAAATAAACAAGTAAAAAATAAGAAATGCGTCAGTACGTGTTTCCAGAAACGTGGAGAAAATTAATTTAACTCTAGCAAGGGAGACGAAAGCTACGAGGCTATTATTCTGAATGGTCCTGGGAGAGTTTTCTTAGAATGTGACATTGTAGAAGAGAAGTGAAGGACGTCAGGCCTGAAAACCTGTGGGAGAACATGCTAGTGAGAGGCCACAGCTGAGGAGGGAACAGGCCGAGAAACAGCCATTGTAGCTGGGAGCAGTGGGCTTGTGGGAAAGCAGCCAGTGAATTGCAGTGAGGCAAACCTCGGGTTACTTGGATCTTCTAAGCATGGAAGGATTATGGATTTTACTCTCCAAAACATGGGAAGAGGTACCAGAGGATTTAAGAAGTGGGACAAGCACCATAATCTAACTTACATTTCCAAGAGTTCATTTTGACTGCTGTTGTATGGAAAAGAAGCATGGGGAAGATCTGTGAGGACCCCAGCGAGCGGTGATGGTGGCTCGGAGCGGGGCAGACAGGAAATGCTTGGAAGCTAGAGCTGCACTTGGTGCTAGTAAATTAAAGTTGAGGCACAAGAAAAAAATAAGTCAAGAAAAACTTCAAGTCTCTAACTTGAACAGTTAGAGAAAGGAAGTTTGCATTTGGTAAGACACAAGAAGTCATTGATGAGAAAAGTACAGGATGGTAATTATGGAGGGAAATCAAGAGCTGTTTGCTTACTGGTTATAAGAACCAAATAAACATTTTTTAAAAGAATGCTCTGACCTGGTGAGATAAATTGATTTGTACCAGATAGATGGGTTAGAGAACATGATTTACTGTAAAGAGCAACATAGCATCCATACAGTGCTTCAAATCTGTCAACTTTGACTTTTCAGAAAAAAAAAAAATTCTAGAAGTAGAAGGACGTGTTGCAAAGAAAGGGCCTGAGGTTGAGAGAAACTGGCATTTCGCAGGAACAGCACAGAGACCGAGGAGGCGGAGGCAGAAGGACAGACAAGATGGCACCAGCAGGGGACGAGCTCAGAAGGGTGCTGTGCGGCAGGTCATGGTGTCCCTTCCTGACCATTCTGAAGACTTCAGCTTTTACTGATGGAACACATTTTAGTAATCATTGACGCACAAATTAATGTAATTTGGGTTTCCCTAGATAACGTTAACACATGCTAAGATACTGAAGGCAAAAAGTAAACACTTTCATAATCAAGCATCATGCACACCATCCAAGGCAAACAGACCTTCCTTATCATACAGATCACTGCAGTCGTAGGAGCGGAAGCCCGGGAAGCACACACACCCCCACGCCAAGCACTCTCCATGGCCGCTGCATAAACTGGGGCATTTCAGTACCAGGAGAATGTCTTCAACGGACTTGCCATAGTTTTCTCTGTTATATCTCCCGTCTTCCAAAACCCTCCTTTCACATTCATTTTCTAACAGGGCCAAGCCTGCTTCTGCCCAGCTAACATCATCTTTGAGCAGCACATCTTTGACACACATATCGATAACATCATTCAGCCTCTTGCCAAGAAAGGCACGACAGTGCTTGCCGATGCTAGAGTTGCGGAGAGTCTCCTCACAGAGAGCCACGGTGCTGTACTCAGTAAGACCAGAAGGTGTGGGCCAGGAGGGGATGAATTCTCGGTGGACATCCTCCATATGGTCTTCAGGGAAAAAATAAGTCAACACTTCAAGGTCAGTTTGGCTGGGACTTTGGAAAGCAGAAAAAGAAGGAAATTCATTAAAGGTTTGCCACTTCCGTCTCTTCCGCCCATGTCCCCTTCTGTCTTGCCAATGACCAGCCTCATCCTGCACTTGCTTCTCACTGTTCAAAGATTCTGATGCATCTTGCTTTTCCTTGCCAGGATGCTGTAAATTTAAATCCAGTTCTGTTAGGTTCATATAGACTTTTTTGTGCAATAAGAAATTCAAATTATTCTCTCCTTCAGATGTCTGTTTTCTTACCCCTCCGAGAAGAGCTTCAGAATTAATATATTCAGAAGTGACATCTAGTTCTGGTATCAAAGAAGAGAACTTGATGTGCTTCAGGTCTTTGCAACTTGAAGCAAATTCTGACTGAGAAGCGCCACCCAGCTGTGAGCAGCTACAGTACGGTGGCCTGGCAGGCCGCGTTGGGGAAACTGGTGATGTGTCAAACATGCTTTCTCCTGGTAAGAGTCTTCTCAAATGAAAATGGGAAAGAATGATTATTTGAATGAGAATATTTACTCCCCAGTATAGTATTTTTTAAAAACATGCAATCACCACACTTTTAGATGAAAGAGTCTATTTCTTACCTCCATTCATTAATAAAAGCAATAAAATTATTAAAATCTTGATCAATTTTGATCCCATTTCTGTCATGGAAATCGTTTTCTGGGTTTTCATCGAAAGTACCACAAAGGCCCAGAGTGTTCTGGTAATCTGAACTAGGGGCTCTGATTGTTAAGCTCAGGCCCCACTCGCTAAGGTCAGAGCGGATAAATGCTCCAGACGAAAACCAAATCTGAAACACAGAAGTAACCAACAGTGAAAAAACGTTGAATCAATATTCAATATGGGTCAAGAAAAGAAGATTTACTTAAGAAACAAACCCAATGATTTATTCCTTTCCTACGGAGAGTAAAACACTGATTTATTTGAGATGACAACTGTCAGTGCTTTGTTTCAAAGTAATAGATTCTCCTACTGCAGAGTTGAAACCTGAGCTCCCTATTGATCTTTTTGTTGAGATATATTATTTATAACTCTAAAGTAATTTAAACTAAAATGTGGTAGTTTACATAATAAAACTTACAAATCTTAGGAATAAAGTTTACCAAGTCAGCTTTGTTATGACAGTCACTTAATACAGCACTTGCTACCAAGCAATTGATTCCCACAGATTAAATATATTTCCAGAGGAGTATATATAAATGCCATCTTATTGTTGATAGATTCATCAATCAGAAGCTAAATTGCAGCCAGAGGTTGCCTTGCATAGGAGAAAAGGGAGTTTTTTAAATTATTCTAACAGTTTGTAACATCTCTGAGTTTCCTGTCTGTATCATAGGAGCAGCATCTGTTCATGTGGAGAAACACTCTCTTTTATTTTACTTTTATTTAATTTTATTGAGAAATAAATAGCATTAAAAAAGAGAAGGAAATAGCATCGAGACAGTTTCAAAACAGGTTAGTAGGACAATTACAATAATTAATACATTATATATTGTTGTCTTTGTAGTAGTTACTCATATTGTAAAATGCAGACATGATATCTTGTCTAAACACTATTAGTACAAATCTTTCTTCTCAATGAACTAAGAGAAAGTAGATGTATATCTATCCTAACTAGTTTATATATACAGATAAGTATTTTTTTCACTGCAAAATGGTCCTTCATTTATATCCTCCTTTTTTGTTTAGTTTTGTCAGATATGAGTATTCCATTGCCTTTTAAATACTGTAGTTGAATGAATTCAGCAAAGTAGTCCAATATAGTCCAGTAATTGAGAGGATGAAATACATGAAAAAATGCTCCATATCACTAGCCATCTGTGACATTCAAATTAAAACACTGAGATGCCATCTCACCCTAGAAAGAATGCTTATCATAAAGAAAGCAACCAACATCAAATGCTGGAGAGGCTATGGGGAAAAATAATCCTTCTCCACTGCTGGTGGGAGTGTAGACTGGTGCAACCATTATGGAATGCAGTGCAGAGACTCCTTAAAAAATTAGGACTAGAAATCCCATTCAATCCAGCTATCCCCCTTCTGGAAATTTTCCCAGAAGAACTGAAAACATCACATCATAGTGATATATGTGCACCTATGTTTATGGCAGCACAATTTGTAATAGCCAAATCTTGGAAGCAACCAAAATGCTCGTCACCTGAGGAATTGATGAAAAAGATGTGGTGTTTTTAGACAATGGAGTATTACTCAGCTATAAAGAATGATAAACTCAAGGCCTTCATATATAAGTGCATGTCACTTTAAGATATACTCATAAGTGTAATATACCAGACTCATATGTGTAAATATCATATAGTCTCCCTAATGTAAGAACTCAAAAGAAGAAATAAAAACAGAAAGGCATAACACAATTAAAAGGAAAGCAAGAACTTAAGGATTAAACTGCGAAGAGAGGTCAAAGAAAAAAGCTAGGAAACATGGCAGGAGCAAAACCATACATTTATATGCACAAGATGGTTAAGACAATGACCCAAATTAATTGTATATTCTACACCAATTATATTCAGAATTTCAGCTAAATCTAGTTGATCATAGATAAACTGTAACTTTTCCCTCACGCAAGTAAAGAAGCAATGAATTATCATTGGGATGTTGTACACCCTGGATTTTTTTTTTAAAGGACACATGCCAGTAACCAATTTTATTTATTTATTTATTTATTTATTTATTTATTTATTTTGCGGAACCGGAGGTTGAACTCAGGCCCCTGCGCTTGCCAGGGAAGCAATTATTTCACTGAGTCATCTCCCCAGCCCCACCCTGGATTGCTTTATTACAACAAATTTTCAAAGAGAATCTCCAACAGGTTTTTGAAACTAGCAGTTAATTGGTAGGTTTCTCACCATGACTAAATACATATGCTGATACCTGTGAACTAAGCAACTGCACTGAGGATTGCAGTGTGTGATGCTAGGGTCATGCTTGGAATGCCTGTCACTCTGGTCCTCTAAATGTGTACTGCTTCTAATGGCATATCTATTATTGCTATACTCTCTCAAATAAATGTTTGTTTAAAAATAAAAAGCAAGAGACAAGAAAAAAAGGTCATAGGACTGTTCTGAAACACTCTCTTCTAAAAGCCAATAAAGTTATACTGTTTGTGTTTTCTTCTCTAATTCATAGGCCTCTTTAATATTTTGTAAATTTAACAACAGTGCTTTTTCATTTTTATAAGAATGCTTTTGCACTCATTGCAGGAAATTAAAGATTGCAGAAAATGGAAGCAAAGCTTTTAATCCTCAAGACAGCTAATTTTCTTGCTAATTCTTCAAACCCCTCTTGTGTATTACAGAAATATCTCTGCTCGTCTATAAGCACATCCCTATTCCATTATTTTTATGACTACAATGTATTCTACACCAATTATATTCAGAATTTCAGCTAAATCTAATTGATCATAGATAAATGGTAACTTTTCCCTCACACAAATAAAGAAGCAATGAATTATCGTTGGGATGTTGTACACCCTGGATTGTTTTATTACAACAAATTTTCAGAACTAAATTTTTTTGTTAAAATGACATATGCAGGTGGATTAAGATTGTATGTGTAATATATATGCCCTCCAGAAAGACTACCTTTCCTAGTGTCTCCTCATGCCAAAATTATATGAAAGATTTTTGATCTATTTGACTACCAAGGACATTAATATACTCATATTTTGTTGATTATATGAATTTAAGACATACTTATCTGTATCATTCCTTTTGAATTGCCCTTTATATTATTTGTTCTTTATAACTGGAAGTGCTGACTATATATGATTATGTGGATTCATGAATTGTACATATGTTTTATATGGAGCAAATATTTTCCCAGTTCTTGATTTGCATTTTGTTTTTGATGATGGACTTCAGATCTATAAAGCTCCATTCAAAAACTATTGTTTATCTCATTAAATGTTATAAAAACATAACACTATTTTAACACTTTTAGACATTAAATTACATTTACTTGAAATTTTGCCTTTTGAATGATGAGAAAAAGAAGAACATTACATTAAGATTCAAATAGCTCATATTTCTTCATTTATTTATTTATTTATTTTGAAGGGTCTCACTATGCAGCTCAAATTCATAGTGATCCTCCTGCTTCCAGCCTTCCTAGTGCTGGGATGACAGGCATTCACCCTCATACCCAGTCTTGGTCCCTGACTCAGTGCACCTGGGTTCACCCTCAT